AGCCTCTCGAGAGCTTTGTCTCGCTTTCACCCTTTGCAAAACCTCGAGATTCTTCAACTCGTGACGTACAGCTTCCACCCATCTCAGATGATCGGAAACGAACCCAGTCAGAGATGGACCTCCCATCGCCACCTGTGACTCCCTACACGGGGAACAAGAAGAGCAATTCCCACGCCTCGGACCAAATTGAAAGGGATCTGGGATCCCCCAGGGATCCTGTCCTTTTCCCCCCTCAAGATTCCGTTACTGACGTTGCTACGGATGAGCCGCTGTTCGGCCCCGTTCACCCTCCATCTGCAGAGGCACTTGTGGAAGAGCACATGAATTCTCATATGGCAATCTTTCGCAATAAGTTGAACAAACCCACACGGGATGAATATCTCCTGGCTCTCTCCTGTGTTCCTATTGTTTCGACCCAGTACAATCGCAATCCGGGTGCTTGGGCGCGAGAAGAACGGGAGACCCTGGAGCGCCAAATGGTCATGATGAACCGCTATCGCTCAGGAGACTACGAACCCAAATTGAAGAAGATTGCTCCTGCTCCGGTAAAACGATTAGGAACTCAACCGCGGGTGCAGCGAACCCGGGTCAAACGCACCCCTAAATCCACACCCAAACAGCAGGTGTTCGACAATTTTGAAACCCCCCAAACCCCACTTACCAAACCGCGTACTTTGGGTACGAATCGCGATGACACCGATTATCACTCACTCAAAGATTACTCGCCCCCGGCAGATACCCTAGGCAGTAATGCCAAAGCATTGAAGGCCGATTGGAAGGGGCAGATGTTGGATTTGAGCAATGACCCGGACAGAAATATTCTCAGTCCCGCCGAGCTCAATCTCGCCTCCACCCTGAGACTTTCATGTGCGACCTACCTATGCAGCAAGCGTCGAATTTTCGAGGCTCGAGTTCGAGCTCTTGGTGTTGGCAAAGAGTTTCGCAAGACGGATGCCCAGCAGGCTTGCAAGATCGATGTCAATAAAGCCAGCAAACTTTGGACCGCTTACGAACGTGTGGGTTGGTTTAAGCCTGAATATTTCCATCAATATCTAACATGATATCGCGGGTTACGTGTTTGATGGTATCACGGATAATGATGCTGTCAGTCCATCACAGTTTATATGTTGTCTCCCATCACCAGCCGAGCTATCAAAGGATAATGTTTCCAATAACTGACCCCTCCACCTCAAGTGTTTACCACACTGCGATACAGCCCTCTCCTATTAATCCTGAGAGCACTCTGCACCTGACCAGAGATATTTGAGTGTTCCCTGGATCAACCCATCTTACACCCTGGCCTTTCGGTTACCTTTTCAATTGCTATTTCGCTTTTACGACTCATCATGACACATTCTTTCTTTTTGAGATTCCCCACTTCTTGGTTTTTACCCATTTTTGCATACAGACCCCATGGGATTTGATTCTTTCCAACTTCGGTTGCTGGCTGTGGCGTTTGGGTGCTTCGCTTCAGTTTCACTTTTGTCTAGGATGGCAGGCTTGGTTAGCCACGGGTGTTTTCTTTTCTCTATTGCGATTGAATCCTACTGCTTGGTATTCTCTTTTTTCTTTTCCCTGGAGGGCAATAGCACATAGGATAAGGCTTGATACCCTGACCAGATATGGTTCTCCTACATGACAATGGAATTGATATGAAATTGATATGAGATCGAGTCAAATATATGTAAAATATACTAATGTCTACTAACATTTAATTGATGCACATGTATACATCTGTATGTTCAATTGATATGTTTCTAATTTAAAACCCAAAATAAAGCGGTGGGGCGCAATCGTAATCCTCCGGCAGGCGCCACCTTTTTTTGACGTATCCCTTTTTATCATCTTTCGCTTCACTCCAATATCATCCAATTTCCTCTTTGAATTCATCTTGGTCAAAAGCCATGTCTCAGGAGGCGACTCGTGCTGAGTCCATTGAGGAACAGGAGCGTGCAAGGGACGATGGCGACAAGAAGCCAAAGTCTCGCCGACCAGCCAGTAGGTCCTGGGATCTCATCAACCCTTTGTCCACGACTAACTTGTTCGCACCAGATACTGCTTTCCGCCAGCAAAGACTGAAAGCATGGCAGTGAGCTTGAGATTCTTACATATATATCTGCCCCTAGAGCACTATGCTAACCTTCCACTAGACCAATCTTAACCCCTAAAAGCGTTCTACCTCTGTTCTTCATCGTTGGTGTCATCTTTGCCCCGATCGGCGGTGTTCTTCTCTGGGCCAGCTCTCTAGTATGCCTCGTTTCATACCTATATGTGCTTGACAGAACAGCTCTGACGGGCCATGTGTTCTAGGTCCAAGAAATTTCCATCGATTACTCCGACTGCTCTAGCAAGGCACCGACCGACAGCTATGCGTCCGTTCCTCATTATTCGGCGACGTTCAAATCTTCTAAATCCATATCGGCGCCCACCTGGCGCAAGTCCATCAATGAGTCTGACTCGGGCACCGTTACTTGCACTCTTCTTTTCGAGGTTCCGAACGAGCTTCCAGCACCAGTTTTCATGTATTACCGCCTCACCAACTTCTATCAAAACCATCGCCGATATGTTCAGTCGCTCGATTTGAATCAGCTAAAGGGAGATGCTGTCTCCTACAATACGATTAAGGGTGGCGCATGTGACCCATTGGCCGTCAACGCCACGGCTAAGAAGGTCTACTATCCATGTGGACTGATTGCAAACTCGTTCTTCAACGACACGATTGGGATGCCTCGAATCCTAGACCCGAATGCATCGGAGAATGAAAAACAATACTACGAAATGACCACTAAAGGCATTGCGTGGGACAGTGACAAGGAACTCATCAAGGAGACAAAGTACAGGATGGATGAAGTACTGCCACCGCCAAACTGGGTCTGGGCCAGCCAGGATGGTGTCTATAAAGAGGATCCCAATTTACAGGAAAATGAAGCTTTCATGGTTTGGATGAGAACGGCCGGTTTGCCATCGTTCAGCAAACTTTCCCGCCGTAACGATACCCATGCCATGCCTGCTGCGAAATATTCCATTGATATTGTTGATCGTATGTGTTACTACTGCCTCCTGTCCACCTTTTACTAAACTGTTCAGGTTTCAATGTCACCGAATACGATGGAACCAAGTCGATCTTGATCTCCACTCGAACAGTGCTTGGAGGCAAGAATCCGTTTATGGGAATCGCCTATGTGGTTGTTGGTGGAATCTGCGTTGTCCTCGGGACTTTGTTTACTGTTGCGCACTTGGTGCGTCCGAGGTATGATCTTCCTTTTTTTGTGAGAAACTGCAAACAGCTAATCTCCTCACCAGAAAACTTGGTGACCACACCTATCTTACTTGGGATTCAAATCAACCGAGCACTGCCATCGCCACGGGACGGGATAATGCCCCTTAGATTTCTTCCATTCCCTTTTATTTTGGCGTTTTCTTTCTGTTTCAATATGCCCTGTAAATAACCCCTGTGTTCAATGACCTCATCCTCGAATTTCTGACATACCAATCGTTTTATCTTCTCCGATCCTTTACATGCTCGTACCCCTTGCTCAAGACATGCATTCCCGCATGACGCAGCATTCTTTATCAGGCAGGGTATATGATAGCGACACGCCATACTGGTCAATCTTGAGATCGATGGTTCTTTTCTTGATTCTTCGTCCGCTCCTTTCGTTTTTCTCTCTTTTGGAACAGGTGCGAAGGGGGTATCAAAACCAGGGCTTCTTATCACCATGGTCTGTCACTCATTTTCCAAACTTGTCGTCCTTGTTACCCTTTTTCTGCAGGTTCGGTGCAGCCCCTTCACCCTCCAGAAAAGAGGCACTTGTGCTACTGAAGACCCCGGTGCGGATTTCTTGCATGAAGTAGCGCGCCTCCAGTCCGATGAAGCCGATCCTGCTAGTTCGCAGGCCAGGGAGGCTCCAATCGAGATCGAGACCTGGTTCCATATAATCAGCAGCAAGTCGGAGTCCAACCAGGTCACTGATGATATGATCAATTCTCAAGTCAGTTGTTTCTTTTTCGACTGCCATTTCCGTGCTAACATTTTGCATACAGCTTTCTATTCTACAACAATCTTATGCAGATTCTGGCATTTCCTACCGATTGCAAGGTGTGACTCGTCATGTGAATGATGAATGGGCAAGTAATGTGGATGATGCGGCAATGAAAGCAGCCCTTCGAAAAGGAAGCTACCGAACATTGAACGTTTACTTCCAAACCAACCTCCAAGCCTCGCCTGGGCAAGCAGGACGCGCCTTCGGGCACAGGGGCGCGGTCACCAACAATGACTTGGCGTCGAGCGTTCTGGGTTTTTGTACCTTGCCCGATCCAAGTGTCAATGCCAGTAGCCCAGCTTCTCACTATGTTAAGGATGGGTGCAATATTTTGGCCAACACAATGCCCGGTGGCTCCTTGGATCTCTACAATCGAGGTGGAACTGCCATTCACGAGATTGGACACTGGAATGGCCTTTTGCACACATTCCAGGGGGAATCCTGCTCGGCAGATAATCCTGGTGACCACATAAGTGACACGCCACAGCAGTCCACCCCGACAGATGGGTGCCCTGAGCAGAAGGATTCGTGTCCGGACTCCCCTGGACTAGACCCGGTCCACAACTTCATGGATTATTCATCTGATGTATGCTACGAGCGCTTCACGCCCGGACAAGGAGAGCGCATGCGAAGTATTTGGATGTCTATGCGTGAAGGGAAATAGCGTGATAGTGACTGGCAATTGTCCAATGCAAGCTCCATATGTACACGCAGGAGACCGCAAGCTGCGATTTAGAGAAACGCTACCTGTCCGAAGACCCGTTGAACGAATATCATGCGTGAATATTTGGATACAGTACAGTTAAGAGACGTTAGGATACTGGTTTCCTCCCGATTAACACCATAAATGTCTCTTGCTCTGAAAACTTAACTTGCCCATAGATTGTAACAAAAAGTGTAAGAATAGAAGCAAGAAGAAAAAGCGTTTTGATGCTCCAGCGGCAACAAAATGGTTGATTAGCGCTTCCGTTTGGTCCCGCGGTCATTGTCATCATGGTCAATCTCCTTGTCTTTACGTTTCGCCTTTTCCTCAAGCGCGTCCCAGTCCTCACCACTCTCCTCGTCGCCGCTGAAATCCTCGTCGCTCGCATCGGCACTCGCGTCATCATCAAATTCGCTGTCTTCCTCAGAACTCTCGTCTCCAGCTGCAAGCTCGGAATCGGACAACTCGAAAGCTGACTCCTCTTCCTCATCTGAACCGTTCTCCGAGTCTGATTCGGCCGATAGGAAAGACCACCCGCCATCGGCAAAGAAGCCGTACGGATCGCTGACGACTGTTTTCATGATCGTGGTCCAATTCAGGTTGAGCGGACCCTCGGTGAACGCAATATCAACAGAGTCAAGCCAGTCCTTAACACCCTCAAGTGCCTCGACAGGAATCGTGTTAATATGAACGGGAGTCCGGCGGAAATCCTTGAAAACGAAGACCATGTCAAAGTTTTTGAGTCCAAACTGCGCGCGATTTAGTAAACCAAGCCGACAAAATAGTAATAAGCAAAAAACATTACCTGAACTCTCTCCAGATGGGCAATCTCGATTTCATTCAACGTGACGGTCGTGAAAGGAGGTTCAGTGAGTTGAACTAGGGCATCTGTGGTCGGTTGAATCAAGACATTGGACCGGTTTGGAACTCCGGTAAAGCCAATTTCCCTGAATGGGATATCGACATCGACACCCTCGTCCTTGCCAGAGTCCGCAATCTTCTCGGCAAAGGCCTTGAACTCGCGGTCCAATGCAGCTCTCCGCCGTCTTTCCTCCTGCTCAGCCTCGAATTCTTCCTCATCTCCATAGCGGTGTTTGCGCCGACGGTTTCCAGTCTCATCAAATTGCATCTCCGTGGCCTCGCGATAGAACTGAATATCCTTTGTCTTCCGCTTTCCAATCATGATAGGCGTCTTAAGATGAACATGGATGAGAACAATCAATTCATGGGCACAGGGTTGGAAGAACAGATGCTTCACGTTGCTGAAGAGCACGTCTACATGCTCATTGCGGAAGGGCGATAGGTACCGAAGACCATTCTGATGAATCTCAACTTCTCCTGGAACACGCTTTCCATCCAAAGGAGGTCGAAGGTAGACATCGGGGAGCTTCACTGGACGCCGGTTTCTAATTTCAACCAGTTTATCCTGCTCAACAACATCTTCCAATTCCTTTTTCTCCTGCTCTCGCCTCAAGGCAGTCTTGCGAAGTTCGGTGATATCCTGGGCGACTCGTGCGAGCCGGTCATTATCCTTGGACCGGAGAGTGAGGTTGCGAACGAAATGAGCTGACAAGTCCTCAAATGGCTGGTCATCCTTTCGGCCCACACCCTGACCTGGAGACAAGAAGTTGATTCGTAGATAGGCGTATTCTCCTTCGTCGCTTTTGCTGGCGTTCTTTATGGTGTTGATATGGAAGGGCACCGGTCGGCCCATGATAGGCACAATCACGGTTGAAGTCTTCTGGTCGACGTAAACTGTAAGGTCTTTAACCTTGGCAGGGAGTTGGTTGTCTCGCTTGTAAGACTCAAAGCGCTTGAATTTCTTCTGTGCCACCCCATTGTCGTCTCCTGTAGTACCGGTGAACCGGTCCAAGCCTTCCTTTGTCTTCTTCAAGGCCAGCTCTTTCTGATGCTCTCGACGACGAGCTTCAGCTCCCTCATTGACTTGAGTTGGTCTTTCAGCACGAAGTTTGGTCCTTGTGACGTTTCTACCAGCAGCTGCGCTAGACTTCGTCTCCTTTTTCTCCTTCACAGGCTTTTCGGGCTCTTCTTCATCCCCGAAATAGAATGAGATCGAGTCCATGTCAATACCCGCGTCTTTGGTGAAAATGTGAGGCCCACTTTCCCCGACACGAACTGTATCGGTGATGACCATAGAATAGCCACCATTCTTGGTATTCTTTGAGTCTGGATCTTTCACATCAGTCAGCCCGATCGTGATAGACAGTGTCATGCCGTTTTTCAAGACGCGGTTGTTCTTGGCATTGAGGACCATATTGGCATCCCGGAGTTCAATTCCAATCCCTGCGCCAACGTTCTTGACAAAGTGTCCTTCTAGTTCAGGCTTCTTAGAACGGACAAGGCTCAGCGCCTTGTTGTAAACGTCCTTAGCGACCACACCATCCCGAACCTCTTTCATGGTCGCTTCATGGAGGCTCAGCAGCAAGGCATAATTCGCTTCTTGTGATTTGGTCGGGTCAACCAAATAAGTACGCCCAATGAGGGAACTGTAAGTCTTGTATCTGATTCCAAAGCTGGACAAAATGATGCCGGGTTCGAGGTTTTTGCTGTCGGGAGTCGCTGTGAGCTTGATATCGTAGGCGCCTCCACTTTGAATTACAGGCCCGTAGGCCCAGTCGATCTGCTGAGAATCAAATTCTGAGGGCAGCCGCGCCAGCTTGTTGAAAAATTTCCCATCATCGATCTTTGCATCAACCTTTGCGGCGAGGGCCTTATGGGTCATCTTCTTTTCTTCGTCAAGCAAACGTGACATCTCATCAACAAAGTACTCTGACATAAGGCCACTGCAAGCTCTGGAAGCATTGCGGATTGAGACCTTTGAGACTGGATCAGCAAACACCACTTTTTAAACGTGCTGTCATAGATAAACCAACCAATTCATCGGAATCTTTGATTGCAAAAGCAGCCGAGAGTGCAGGTGCTATGTCAACTTCCTCCACTTCTTTCGATATTTCCGAAAATGCGCGTTTCCATTCATCTGCGAAGGGTCCTGAGGCCGTGTTTTTGGGTAAGGTACCGACTTTGTTCTGCAGTCGTCGTGGTCAGCGGAAGGCAAATCAAACTGGTGATTCAAAGGTCATTTTTAGCTCACCCCTGCACCCTTGATAAGATCCAAGCATTTCTCGAATGCTTTGGTCTTTGATTCTGGGTCTTTGGTAGTGACCAGAATTTCGACGGGAATCTTTCCTTCTTTCAGCGGCTCGAGGTGTTTCGCTTAAATTGATTTAATCAGCTATGCAGCGCGCAAAAGTCCATGCGTTGGTAATTACCTTTCTTGGCCGTGGTGACCACGTAAATCGCTTCGGTCGTGAGAACAAACAGTGTTGCTGGGAATTCATACCCGAGAAGCCAGAACTAACGTTCTATTAGTAACGATGTCACGAAGCTGATGAGCCCCTATGGGACGAGGATAGGAGTTTAGAAGATGATTACATACATGCATCGCGTTGTTCTTTTGAAATGAGTTCTCCTCATCAGTCTTACCCATCAGAATGACCATGGACCCTGCATTGCCAAAGAGGGCATTGCCCGAGCGCTTGTCGGCCTTCCATGATGCATAGAAACTAGACAGGCGGTTGAAAAAGTTGTTATTGTCAATGGCGATCTCCTCTGCCATATTGATGGCCTGCTACGAGCAAGATATGCCCCAGTCAGAGACTAAGTTGATGGCAAAAGAGCTCGGTGGAGAAGCGTAGGAGCTATTGAAGGTATGCCTGAGTGTTAAATTTGTTGAGGATGAAGAAAAATGCAGACGGAAAATGAAGGCAGCAGCAATGCGACCGCTGCGGTGATGAGAGACAAGACACCAATAGAGCCAGGTGTGGAAGAAAAGACAAAGATAGAAAGGGACGGCTTAGGAGAAAGCGAACGCGAAAAGCGCGTTCTTGCACTCCAAGTCTCTCTCGACCACCGTATCAAAGTATTACCACTTTCGTCCTAGCGCTATTTTCCAACTCTTTCTCTTTTTGAATCCAAACATGATTTGTGAATATGCTTTCCTGAATTTCTTTCTATTTTCAATTTTGTAGTCAACATGGCATACGTCAGCCTTCACTTGATCGTTTGATTGGATAACAATCACCCCCTGTGGTGCTGCCCTCTTTCCCCGCCTACATCACCTGCGCTTTGCAATTCACTGTCGACATTGAGCAAGTCTCTCTTTGAGACCCACAAGCACCCTTTCCTACGATGTACACGGTGGCTTTTTAGTTGTTTGTAAACAATGAAGTCTTCTATAGCTCCTATCCTTCTCGACCCCCATGTCGGCGAACTTCCAGGAAGTCCACGAAGGATCTCTCGCAACGATGCAGCTACCGGAGCATCTGCCGCAGGCGTTCGCGCTCTCAGTGCACAGATGGTGGCCTTTTATTTCAGAGCACCGATCAAAGCTTTCTTTCGTACACGTGTCGAGTATGTAGTATCTGTGGACTTAATGATCTTTGTATTGACAATATTTCTCCTAGTTATATGGTACAGCCTCCCACCATCTACAATAGATGAGAAACACAATCAACCCATCGCCAGCCTTCGTTACTTATCATTTGAAACAGGCATTTGCAAGAGCTGTGAACCCCCGTGTTGCTGAAGGCAAATGGTCTCTGCATACGACAACCCCGGGATTATTGCTCCACGCTGTCCGGACATATGGTTGGCGGTTTATCCCGAATCAAGTGCTTCCACCTTTGATGGCAAATGCAGGGTGAGACATTCCCGAAAACAGGGCCCTGGGTGATTTGAAAGTGCTAACAATATACACCAGGGTTGGTGCTGTTCTCTACACATCCTATCTCCAGGTTTTGGGGGCCCTACATGAACCTGTAGCCCAAGGGGTCAAGCGAGTCTGGCCCCCGGCTTCTCCTTCTGCGACATTTACTGCTGGATTCACTGCTGGCACAATTCAGTCTATTGTAGCTGCCCCTCTGGACGCCTTACAGGTTCGCTTTCAGACCAGTGACATGCTGGAGGGTCAGTACCGGAGTATGTGGCATTATGGCCACCATAAGCTTAGACAGATTGGTCTCCGTGGAGTCTTTGCAGGCTGGAGCCTGTCATTTATGCGGGATTCACTCGGTTATGCTGTGTTCTTCTCCTCGTTCGAATACATCAAGTCACAGTCCTACTATTCATTCGTCACTTGGTACTATGGCTCCCTGCAAGTCGACCATGTGGGGATGTTTTCATCGTCGGATTCTAGTGGTCGCGGTGTGCCACTTATCAAGCCCCACTATGCATTGGAGCCCTGTTTCCTGATGATGGCTGGGGTTGTGGCATCGATCGCTCAGCAAACCATTCAGCATCCTCTAAGTAGGATTCAAGACCTTCACCTAGGTCGACTAGAATATCTGGATCACCAGGCCAGTCTCATACCCTCGCGACAGAAGATGGTACGATTATACTACCACGCCTATCTGGAGACCTTCAAAAGGTGCTCGCGGAAGGCTGCGCGGGCCGGTGGCTGGCGCCCCTGGTTGTTCCGTGGGTTCATCGGGAGCTCTCTTCGCCAAGTACCTAGCACCAGTGCCGGCCTCATTATTTTTGAATTGGTGCGCCGCCGGTACGCGAATCCCGCAGACGCTGTTCATATTCAGAGTGATGGATATGACATCCTTCTCACTTAACGGTTTATGTCATGGGTATGCTCATTCCCTCTCGCTTTGGCCTTTTGAGTCTTATCTCTTTTGCTTCTCCTTTTACCACATTGTTCATCCTGGGGAGGGCGTTACAGGCATAGAATCTTGTTTCATTAGACCTACATACGCTTATGTACATATACAAGCGATACCCGACTTTAAATGAGTACCTTCCTATGTAATCATATACTTGGATATCTACCTAGGTAGCAAGATAAGTTTATCACTACATATGTAAGAATAGAGGTAGGTTTTATCGTAGACACCAATACAAGGGTAAAAAGCTTTTGTCCTACATTCGAGAATCACGGAAGTTTCTTTTTATTTTCTAATTGGACCGAGTCTGCATACGTTGACAGAGATATATACTCTTTTCAAGTTATACTTAGTACTATATGTATTAGTAGTTGTATACTTAGCTACATATGTACATATGGATCGTACGTAAATAGTAACTCATTTGTCGATCTCGCATTTGAGGGTACGATCTAGTACGTATTAGTACTAGTACGTACTCCGTACAAATACCACTTGGCATTACATATTAGATGTCTCCTCTAACTAGCCTAGGATCGGCTCGTCCTCTTCTGTCTATTTCGTTCTATTTGACCTCCCCAACAGTTACTATTTTAACCTAGCATTTCTCAAAAAAAAAGGCCCTGGATGAAAATCATCTGAATCCCTCTTATTCTATTATATATTTGACTTTCTTTGGCTGTGTAATGCTCTCTTGCTTGGCTCGGGACCCTTACTTTTGCCCAAACGCACCCCCTCTCTCCAAATCTCCGCCTGATCATCACCCCCGTTTTTGACGGTACTTCGTCATCCTGCGTCGCGTGTGACTTTACGTAGCTAGTCGCCCGCGGCCACATCGCCTGAGTGGCGCCCTATCGCGGACTAATACAGTGACTTTCAAGGTTGTGCCCAGGTGGTGCTGTTGCTGACTCCTTGCGGAGAACCTCTTATCGATATCATTAATTCCATCGACTCCGCATTCTTTTCTCCCAGCAAAAAAGGGCTGCGAGGTTCAGCCCGTCAATACCGCCATCATTTCTCCGACTTCTCCCCCACGCGCTTCTAACATACCCCTCCAGTCCATACCCTCTGATTCCCGCTCGACCCATTCGCCCGAGTTATTGGAGTCCATCGAGAAGGGTAGTCGACGGTCTTCTCACTCGTCTGCTCGCTCGGTCGGGTCTGACTTCTCAATCTGGTCAGATACTGGTGACCTCGCCGAGCAGTTCGCTGAGGCTGAAGATCCGCTGCAGATTCACCTTCGCGATTCCTTAGATCGACAGCTCTTGCGTCGAAAAGAGCGAAGGAAGCAGCCCAAACACGTCCACTATTCTTCAAACTTGAGCAACGAGCGTTCTGTGGTCGATATTGAAAAGATCACAATACCAGTCCCTCCCCCGCGGCATATTTCGAGAGTTGAACGCGTTCTGGCCGCCATAATGACACCCAGAAATGGGCCAAACACCCAGATGCACGGTCTAGTCGGGAAGCCATTACTGTGAGTGCGTCAAAGGCCAGTACCGTAGTTTTTACCGCTGACTCGGGTTTGCATGTAGTTACTTCACGAGTGTGTTTGTATCATTGGGTGTCTTTCTTTTTGGCTATGACCAGGGTGTAATGTCTGGCATCATAACGTTCGTGTCTAATCCCCCGAGCGTAGACTCACTTTAGAGATTGGGGGCAAAATGTGGCTAACAGACATAGTGGCTGGTACTTCAAAGATTACTTCAACCAGCCTTCTCGGGCTACAATTGGTACTGTGGTTGCAGTTCTCGAAATTGGAGCATTCATATCCTCGCTCCTTGTGGGACGTGTTGGTGATATGATCGGCCGTCGAAGGACTATACTCTATGGCTCCATTGTGTTCTTCATTGGCGGCGCTTTCCAAACATTTGCCACAGGGATTCCCATGATGATGGTCGGTCGTATCATTGCTGGTCTAGGCGTCGGTGCCCTCTCTACCATTGTGCCAGTTTACCAGTCTGAAATCTCGGTTTGTGAACCCCTTTCTTCATCAATCCTCAACCCTTTCGCTTGCCTCCCGCTCCCATTCTTTTGCCAGGTATGCTGACGAATTTCAAGCCTCCCCACAACCGTGGGAAACTCGCATGCATCGAATTCACGGGCAATATTGCTGGGTATGCGACTAGTGTGTGGGTAGACTATTTCTGTAGCTTTATCGACAACGACTACTCCTGGCGCCTCCCGCTCCTTTTCCAGTGTATCATGGGTGCCTTGCTTGGACTTGGCAGTCTGGTGATCTGTGAATCACCCAGGTGAGTAGAAATATCCTCCATCGTCTGCCAGGCTAACTCCCAGGTCCCTACTTAGGTGGCTTCTTGATAATGACCACGATGAGGAGGGCATGGTGGTGATCGCAAATCTTTATGGCGAAGGAGATCTTCTTAATGACAAGGCCCGCCAAGAATATCGTGAGATCAAGATGAACGTCCTCGTCCAGCGACAGGAGGGCGAGCGATCCTACTCAGACATGTTCCGCCGCTATCGCAAACGTGTCCTGATTGCCATGTCGGCCCAGGCCCTTGCTCAGCTCAATGGAATTAACGTAATCTCATACTATGCGCCTCTCGTGTTTGAATCGGTATGAATACCATACGCTGCTATGAATCCAGAATCTCCCTCCCACGGGGCCATGCCGGATTCAAACAAGATTCAAAATGATTCAGGATTATGCTGACCAATCTTCAATATAGGCCGGCTGGGCTGGACGGGATGCTATCCTAATGACTGGAATCAATGGTATTTCATACTTGCTGTCAACTATACCGCCGTGGTATCTTGTGGATGGCTGGGGTCGACGACCGATCTTACTTTCGGGTGCCGTTGCCATGCTCATCTCCCTTTCTCTTATCTCCTACTTTATTTACATTGAAATCCCCGCCACCCCAACCCTGACGGTCATCTTCGTTATGGTCTATAATGCCGCTTTCGGGGCATCTTGGGGCCCAATTCCATGGTTATATCCCCCGGAGATTTTGCCTTTGAGTATTCGTGCCAAAGGTGCAAGTTTGAGCACCGCTTCAAATTGGGCATTCAATTGGCTCGTGGGCGAGGTGACCCCTATTCTTCAGGAAGTTATCAAGTGGCGGCTATATCTGGTTCATGCTTTCTTTTGTGCATGCAGTTTTGTGCTTGGTATGATCCCTCATCCATAGTCATCCACTAGGGACTATTATACTAACTATCACCGCAGTTTACTTTTTGTACCCCGAAACAAGTGGGGTTCGCCTCGAAGATATGAACGTCCTTTTTGGCGATGCTTCTACCGCCATGCCGACACCCGCCACTCAAGGCGAACGGGGGTCGCTAATGGGTGCTGGTTCACCCGTCCCGTCGCTCGATCTGCGTCGGCAGTATGGGCAATTTGGGGCGGAGAATTCCATCCCTGGCCTAGATATCGATCCGCCGACTTCAAGCCATGAAGGGACCAGCAAACGTCGACGCTCCGATTCTCACCAGGGCAGCGTTCGCGGCGAAGGAATTGGTGGCTGGATCTCAAATATGGTCAGTCGAAACCGGGGAGGGGGCCCCGGTGCTACCAGCAGCCAATATAGACGTTTGGAGCAAGGAGAAGGAGACGAGCAATGAAAGGGTTACGGATAATTGTGCCCTCGGACTGAATAAAGGAAGCAAGAAAGACCAAAGAATTCAATGTCATATATCTCCTTTCCCCATTTACCGATGTTTTTTCTGTTCGGGTTTCCGGTACATAGGCCAAATCCTCGAATTTTCGGGGTTTTCGTCGTTTAATTGATGATATAGATGTTGTATCTCTGGAATTTCCTCATGCATAGTACATACTAATAGGTGCTTTGTATGTGCCTTATCAATATGTATGATATCGGATACATAAGTATATTTATACATATGTACGATATATTTATAGTACGAGGTATGGTACAAAGGTACTTAGTCGGAATTACACGTTCTGAAAACGGCCCGTTAAAAGTGGACTTGTTTATCCTCCTTTGAGGCCACGGATCTCTCTTTCTCCTTTACTCTCTCAGCCCACTCTCTTGTTTCACTTAATTTCATTTCACTTCTTTTTTTTTAAAAAAAAATTCACTTTTCTCGATCTACTCCTGGCATTGCTTCCGGTAAATCCGTTAGATTTGCCCTATTCTATCACTCATTTGCCCTCGGGAATGGCTATGTTCTCTTAAGCTACCCGCCCTTCTATTATCGGTCTACCTCGGTATTCCTCAGTTCAATTTCCTACTATTCTCCCATTCCGTTCGCACATTTTCCTTTAGAAATACTACAAGGCACACCATGGTGGGCCTAGACACCGCCGTGAGCACGGGCGCCAGACAAGAGTCCGACCTTCGTCGAAGAAATGTCCCCGATTCCAGCAAAGTTCATCTGGACTCCAACCGGATGAACGATGAAGATGTGAAGAAAGCTAGAATACAGGTGAGATAGCGTTTTCAACATCATCATATACGTTCTAACCTCCCCTGGGCAGTCACCCTCGTTCCTCCATGTGCTAGCCGGCTGGGAGCCGATCATTGCTCCCATCATCTTGACTGCCCTCGCCCTCTTCACCCGCCTGTACCAGATCGGCCGTTCCAACATTGTGACCTGGGATGAGGCCCACTTCGGTAAATTCGGTTCCCACTATCTCAAACGCGAGTTCTACTTCGATGTCCACCCGCCTTTGGGGAAGATGCTTGTTGGCCTGTCCGGCTATCTTGCTGGCTATAATGGGTCTTTTGAATTCAAGTCTGGCGAGAAGTATCCGGAAGATGTGAACTACACCTTCATGCGAGCCTTCAATGCTGCCTTTGGTATAGTCTGCATTCCCCTTGCCTACTACACTGCGCGAGAGTTGAACTTCCGCCGGGCCACAGTCTGGTTGATCAGCCTGATGGTGCTGTGTGAGAATTCCTATGCAACAATTTCTCGGTTTATACTTCTTGACTCGATGCTGCTCTGCTTCACATTTACTACCACAATGTGCTGGGCAAGATTCCACCGGCTGCAGCGTGATAGCTTTTCGCTGGAATGGTATGCCTGGCTCTGTTTGACTGGCTTGAGCATTGGATGTGTCTGCAGTGTCAAATGGGTCGGTTTCTTCTGCACTGCTCTTGTCGGTCTTTATACTATTGATGATCTCTGGAATAAATTTGGCGACCTGAAGATGCCACGGGTGAGTCTCTGCTTTCAGCCCCACCTTCCCTGAAGGTCGATCACCGATTAGCTAGCTAACACGGATGCGTTTGAACAGGCTGTGCTCGCAAAGCACTTGGTTGCTCGTGTTGTGGGATTGATTGTTATTCCAATCTTGGTCTACATGTTTTCTTTTTATCTGCACTTCTTGGTGCTGGCGAACAGTGGTCCAGGTGATGCCCAGATGAGCTCGCTGTTCCAGGCCAACCTACAAGGTACCGAGGTTGGTAGAGACAGCCCTCTTGAGCTTGCAATTGGGTCGCGAGTCACACTCAAAAATATGGGCTATGGAGGAGGGCTTCTGCACTCCCATGTTCAAACATACCCGGAGGGATCCATGCAGCAACAGGTCACGTGCTACCACCACAAAGATGCCAACAACGACTGGTTTATCTACCCCAACCGACAGGAGCCGGACTACGATGCCACTGCTGATCTGCGGTTCGTTGGTGATGGCGATGTCGTCCGGCTGATTCACGGACAGACTGGTCGCAACCTGCATTCCCACGCTATCCCAGCACCAATCACGAAATCACACCACGAGGTGTCATCCTACGGAAATATTACCATTGGAGACGACAAAGACCACTGGAAAGTGGAGGTGGTCGATGATGTTGCATCTCGAGATCGATCTAGGATCCGGACACTCACAACAGCATTCCGACTCCGCCATCCGGTCCTAGGCTGCTATCTGCGGGCAGGAAATGTCAATCTACCTCAATGGGGCTTCAAGCAGATTGAAACAACATGTACCAAGGAAAACAAACCCACCGATGTGTACACTCACTGGAATGTTGAGTCTCATACCAACGACCGCTGTAAGCTTATCCCTTTTTCAAGAACTTGATATTGATGAGCCCGATCACACTTATTGACCTATTCACAGTGCCCCCTGGTGACCCTGGATCTTATAAATCGCCCTTCTTGAAGGACTTCATCCACCTGAATGTGGCCATGATGACCTCTAACAATGCTCTGGTTCCTGATCCTGACAAGCAAGATGACTTGGCTTCCAAGTTTTGGCAATGGCCGATTCTCAATGTCGGGTTGCGCATGTGTTCTTGGGATGATAGCGTTGTCAAATACTATCTTCTAGGAAACCCCCTGGTCTACTGGGGAAGCACTGCGGCTCTTGGCGGATTTGGTCTTCTATTCCTTTGGTACCTTCTGCGCTGGCAGAGGGGGTACAATGATCTCAGCGACGAGGAAATCAGTCACATCCACTACTCTGGCTTGTATCCGGTTATCGGATGGGTCTTGCACTACCTTCCCTTTATAATCATGGCCCGCGTGACTTATGTCCACCATTACTATCCGGCTCTCTACTATGCCATCCTGAATTTCGGCTTCTGCGTCGATTGGGTGACACGGAAGATGAATCCCAGACTGTCTGCGACGGTGTATGCCTTCCTCTACATGATTGTTGTCGGATTGTTCATCCATTTCCGAGCCATCGTGTTTGGGATGGAGGGTTCTAACCAGCAATGGGCTCACCTGCGCTGGCTACCCGGATGGAAAATGGCGAATGCGAACTAATCATGAATCGCTTGATGACGTGTTCTTGTCTCGCTAGGGCTGCTCGTTAGCTCGTGTTGACCACCTCAAATTGGACCGTACATGTCTACATGGGTGCGTGTATCAACATGGATAATTTCACTTTATTTTCTGTATCTGTAAAGAAAAATGCAGTGTTATTAGAGATGGTAGAGTTCTCATCCCAACCGCCATAGTCGCGCTTGGTGTCTGGAAAACAATTCAGTTGGATATGAAGATATGTCGGGGCCATATGTTGCTGACGATTTATTATTACGGATTGTGGACTTAGCAACAACCCCCAGTCCAACCGTTGCCACCTTTGCGCATAGCATCATCCATTCCCAATGTGACAGTTCTAGGCACTCCGGTGTTTGCTCCCCCTGAGGCCCCAAACCCTTTCACGCCGCTCCGGCGATCATTGAGGTCGTATTTTCCCGTTTCAATGTTACGATAGATTCTCTCGGCAACTTCCAGGAACGCTCGTTCAACGCCGTCTCCGGATTTGGCACTCGTTTCAACATAGCGAACCACATTATTCATGCGGCACCATTCTTCGGCCTCCTCCCTGGTGACCTGCCTTTGATTTGATCCAGAACTGGTCCCCGTCAGATCAGTCTTATTACCGACCAAGATGACAACAATGCCATCTTCTGCAATATGGCGTAGATCCTGCAGCCACTGGGTGCAGGATATAAAGGTCGAGTGCCTGGATATATCAAAGACTAGGAGAGCGCCAGAGGCGCCCCGGAAGTAAGAGCGGGTGATAGACTTGTATGTCTCTTGTCCAGCGGTATCCCACAGGGAGAGTTTCATGCGTTTTTGATTTGGAGAACCTTGTGGTTTTCGTGGAGGGGTAGGAAGGCCGGAGGTGGCAGATGCTTCTGGAAATGTAGCACCCGACGATCCGGGAGAAGGCTCATCAAGTTCTAGCTCTAGCGACGCTGGAGGACCAACTGGCACAATTCGCGACCCGAACTCGACTCCAATGGTCACATCATGAGATGGGGAAAAGCGGCCTTCACAAAGTCGGACGGTGAGCTATTGTTTGGTTAGCGGAGGCGCAAGGTCAAAGAC